GTAGGCCAAAGCAGACTTCTCTGATCCAGACCCTTGCATGTTTCCAAAATGATTGCTAAATATAAATATCAGAAGAGGCACAGATTTTTCCTTCCCCCTCCATTGAAAGATCTGAATTTAAAATACAGACAACATCTATGTGGAATGGAGCCTAAGGATTGGGCACTGTCCATTAAATACAGAAACCCTAACCTTCCAACTTAGACCTCATTGAAGTACCACCCTCCTGCAGCATGCCCTAAAATAGTGGCTGCCTTCCCAACTAGCTTTTTCTCCTATCAACATCTACAAAGCAAGAAAAGTCTTTTTCCCCTCTGTAGTGGCAGCCCATTCTCTTTCTCCCTCTTTCTCCCACAGATGTTGGCTCTCCACTTTATTCTTTGACATTGTGCTTCACTACTTCATTCTTGGGCCTTTTGTTCCTCTCTTGAACTTAGTCGTCTGACTTTTTCAGTATTTTCAGTTACCTTGCTTATATTAACTGTGTTACTTCTTCTCATTTTGGCCTGCTTCACACATCTTATTAAGCCATTACATTGTTTGTTTGGTTTTGGCTTAGTATGATGTGCGAAGTCCTTGTGGCTTCAGTTTTTGGTACTTGGCCCAGGCTGACCATATATAGCAATAAGGATGACTGCATACAAATGACCATGAACATCTCTGGGCATATCCTTTACATACCATACATTCATTAATTTATTTATTTTACATAATTTATCTGTCCACTTTAACAAACTTTGGGCAGTTCACATAAAATTTAAGAGCATTTAAAATAAATATGATCAAATCGTTAAAACATTTTTGTGTGTGCCTTCAGGTCAGTGTTGACTCCTGGCAACTGCCTGGACAAGTCCTCGCAGTTTTCTTGGCAAGATTTTGAAAGTGGTTTGCTCTTGCCTGCTGAGAGAGTGACTGATCCAAGGTCACCCAGCTGGCTTTGTGCCTAAAGTGGGACTAGAACTCCTAGTCTTCCAGTTTTTAGCTTTGTGCCTTAACCATTACACCAAGGTGGCTCAGGCTTAAAAATTTTTTAAAAAGACTCTATGCCACATACCACTTAGTCTCCAAATGCTCATTGGAGGAGCCAAGTCTTGGCTGCTTTCTTAAACATTGATGGATGGATTATTCCCAGAGATACAATAGCTATGAAAAAAACATCTTGCTTCCAGGCTCCCCCCCTCCCCTCCACCCATCTTCCCAGAGAGAAGGAATCCATGCATTCCCTCCCAGGATGATCCAAAGGGGTTGGGCAGATTATGCTAGAAAGAATCAAATAGGTAACCAGGACCCTATTAATAGATTTTTATGAACGTTTCAAATACCTTTTATTTTATTGTTTATATCTCTACATGATTGTCTAGGTTATTACTAGCACCTTAAGTTGTACTTGGAAACCTGTTGGCAGCCAATGTAGCACCTTCAGTATCAGTACCATATTGATGAAGTGGTCTCACCTGCTACTATGTGGACTGCTGAATTCATGTCAAGTTCTATGAAGTTTCTGGCTAGTGTTGCAGTACATTAGTCCTTGCTTAATGACAGTAATTGGGACCAGAACTTCCATCACTGAGTGATGTAGTCATAAAATGCGATGTCACACGATTGTGCCGCTTAGCAACAGCAGTTCTGGCAATCCCTGGTTTCTGTCATTAAGCAAATCACCGCAGGTCATTATGAGGATCTTAGATGACCATCACTTCTGACTTCCTGCTATCTTCCCATTGACTTTGCTTGTGGGAAGCCGGCAGGGAAGGTCGTAAATCACAATCACATGACCACAGGACGCTGTGATGGTCGTAAACCTGGGCTGGTTGCTGAGTGCTTGGATTGTGATCATGTGACTGTGGGGATACTGCAACAGCTGCAACTTCAAGGACTGGTCATAAGTACTACTTATTCAGTGCCATCGTAAGTTAAAACAGTCCCTGAATGAGTGGTCATTAACTGAGGACTGCCTGTTATTCATTTTTAAGGTAAAGACTGTCACTAGGGCCTCTTACTGCAGAAAGGGCCACAACTGGTATATCAGCTGAACTGAGCAAAGTTCTCCTGACCATAGACTCTGGCTGTTGCTTCAGTTGGAGCCATGAATACAGGGGGATTCCCAAGTAGTGGGATGAATTATCACAGAAGATATTACATTCATATGAGATGTTTTTATTTTGTGAATCCATTTTGTTGTAAACTACATTTGGTTGTTCAGTGAGATAGCTTAAAACTGTGATAAACAAATAAGACCTGTTTTTTCAAGGGAAGTATGACCCGATCCAAACCAAACAATGGACCAACAATGCTGTCTTGCTGGATTTCAAACTCAGTTTGTTTCATGCCATCCATCGCCTCTAGATATCAGATGAAGTCATCCACTGGATCTCCTGTCCAGCCCAGGATAGAGATATATAATTGAATATAATCAGCATACATTATCTCTAGTAGATTATCCTCTCCCCCCACCCCACCCCATGTTTCATATAGATCTTAAGTAACAGAGCTCTGTGGTACTCCATATAGGAGTGGCTAAGGGCTCAGCCACTTCTTCCCCCATAACTGTTGCCTTGTCCTTCCCACTTGGAAAGAAGTGGAATTACTACAAAAGAGTTATCTCAGGTTCTAACCTTTTTAACCCTCCTAGACCACGAATATGCCATAGTTGATGGTATGAAATGTTGCTGAGAGATCTACTAGGATTAGGAAAGCTAGAGCCCCACCATCCAAGTCTCAACAAGATCATTCTTGAGAACAACCAATGTGGTTTCTATCTAGCATTTGAGTCTGATACCAACTGAAAGGAGTCTTGATGATGCTGCACTTCATCCAGAGTTCTTTGCAACTAGTCCCACTAGATTCTCCCAACACCTTTCCTTAAAAGGGAAAGTTGGGGAGTGGACAGAACACTGTTAGATCAAGGGCTGACCTCTCCAGGTGGGAATGTATCACTGTTTCCTTCAAGGCAAAGGGTACAACCCCCTCTTTCAAAGGATCCAACCATTCATCCCACTTCTAGTTGTCTGAAGAAGTCAGATCTAGCCCACAGGTGGCAGAAGGCAATTAGCAAAGAGACAGAATGAAACAGGCTCACAACCAGCATTAATAACCATATTTCAGATCAGTTAAACTCAGTCCAGTATCTAAAGCCCAAGACCATTGTGTAGTCAAATGCAGAAAGGATTCGTATATATTAAGTCTTGCACATGAATGACAAGTTGACTTGCTGGAAGTCCTTCTCCAACATAATTGTTAAAGATAGGATGTGTATATGGTCACTGAACTCAGGAAAGCATTCAGTTATTGCACTAAGCCATCAAGTAGTTTGATTTTGAATAAATGGTTTATGCAAACATAGCCATTGTAGCAGATCATCCTTTATGTTTCAATATATTGCTTCCATATCTCAGCTTTATTCAGTAAATCACAGTTAAGCAAACTATGGGTTAAGGCAGTATGTGAACCTAGTCTCAGACTCTAGTCTGCAAGAATAAACATGCCAGTTTTACTTTGATATAACTAACCAGTTTAGAAAAGTTAACACTATGTTTATTATGGGTATCTGCTTCCTTAGTTTTAAGATAGCTTGGTAGAAAGAATATTTTTTGGCATGTATGTATTTAGTACATTGTGTGTGTCTGTTTGTCACATGAATCACATACTTTCTGTAAAGTGAGTTTCAGTGCAGGGTCACCCAAACAGCTGTTATTTCTTTTAATAGCTTCTTTAACCTACGTGCCAGCAAGTCAGTTTACAAAATCTGTTTTGTTGATGACTGCTGCGATAATAATTGTGGTGTTTGTGGCTTGGCAAAAGCTGAGGGTCTCCTCCGAGGACTCTTGCCAAAACCTTTGAAGGGGTTGAGGTGGATTCCCTGCCAGAATGAGTCACTGCTCTCTATTTTATTTAGTGTCCTTTTGCCAAGGCTTTAGACACTTTCTGTTTTCATTCTTTTGTAGGCTTTCCTTCCCACATTGTGGTTTTCTTCACAGCCAAAGCTCTGGGTTTGCCAGCATAGGTGAGAGAGTGTGACGAACTCTCCCAGAGCCTCTGCCAGACTATTGTAGGCCTAGTGATTTTTAACCATGGAGCGTGCTCAAATGTGAAAGTTTAATCCAAATAATAGTACATTTTCAGTGTAAAAAGACAATTTTAAATAATACAGAACAAAGGAGTTTCTCAAATTATGTCAGTTTCAAAGGCAGCACATTATCTTCTCAGTAATAATGCAATGTTGGGTTTAGTACATTTCTTTTAAGACTATTCAGAATAAACAGACTGCATCAAATATAGACATACATGTCTTCTGAGCTAGGCTTAATGATACCACGCTATACCTTTGATTTAAATAAACTGTGAACTAACTGGTTTGCTGTCTGTGACTTCTGTTGGTGATGCTGGCATGTGTTTGAGGGGACCAGGAAATACTTTTGGAACTGAAGCTTTAAAAACAAGGAGGTTACACCCTAGAACTTCAGAATTATGAGCCAGATTGCTTGGATGTTACATTTATATATGCACAAGCATACATATGTATTTCATGATGCCACTGAAGCTATTTCTGTTTTAGTGGAGGTAGTAGCCAAGTTCACATATTGCACTAAGCCTTAAGGGCACTTCCACCCAAGCTCTTTGCCCTGCTCCAGACCTCTGTGTTCTCATGCTGTCATCTATATTTACACTGAGCTGATTTATGCTTGTTCAACTGCAGTGTATCCAAAATTGCAAAAAAATGATCTTTCTGTTTGCAGAAGCTCTACAGAGTTTGTGAGTAGATTCTGACAGGAGTTCTTGTGCTACCTGAAGTCATTCATTGTGGCTTGTAAAGCCTTACTTATGGATTAGTGTGAAGTATTAACCCAATAATTGTGGCCTGTTCCTCATTAACAAAAACATGGCTTTGTATGATGTTAGCCAGTGATGGCCATCATTCATATCGGTGAAGTTGTAGTTGAAGAATATGAAACAGTTATGAAAATACCTTGGTTTAACATTCCTTTATTCCTTCTTCACAGCATACAGTAAGAATAAAAGCAAAACAAAACAATTCGTTGAAGGAGGAATTCTTCAGGATTGTGGTGAGAAAAAATAGGAATCTTTCCCACTTTATAAAATCTCCTCCTACTTGATTAGAGGTTTTTAATAAAATTTGATCATTGTGTCTTTTGTTACAATTAAAGTAATGCATAGTAATGCCCTTGGACCAATAGAAGGGAAGAACATAAATATTTGTAGTTTTACATTTTCAAAAACAGCTTCCTACCTGAACTAATGGTACTGCATCATTTAGCATTAAACGTCATGGAACTGGGTAGATTATTTAAGGCACAGTGTTTGGTAATTATGGGAATTGCAATCCAACAAATTTACTGGATGCCAGATTTCAAAGAAGCTGGAATCAGTTCTCTTTAAGAGAGAACTTGCTGCATTTTGGATTTTATCAAGTTATTTTCTGTTCAATTTTCTTCTCTTCACTGGCAGAAGAGCAGAATTTAAAAGATCTCTATTTCCTCTTTGAACTTTGAGATCTTTATAAATGATTTTATTAGTTACAATATTTATTTTAAGACTTGCAGACTTTGTACATTTGTCGGACTCTGAACTTAGTGGGTGTTGAACTTTTGACAGTAGTCTATGCAGCATGTTTTTAATGAACAAAATTGTGTAGATATTTTAAGGATTCTATGGTAGCTGTCCATTCTGGTATGTTAAAAATATATTGAGAAGCTTTATGTATGTATGTATGTATCCAATATTTAGCTTGCTCAAAATAATATAATCAGAGTAGTTTTAATTGAAGTTGGTAAGTTTGGTTTATAATTATCATTTTTATCACTGAAGGAAAAGGAGCATATATAATATTTTTTGAACGTTCGGAATCCTGAAGAATCTTGTTAAATGCCACATTTAATTGTGATTCCTTTAAGAAAGGATTTCATTTGCTGGAAGTTGTTCATTTTAAGGAGTATAAATACAGTGGAAGCTACTTTTTTTAAAAAAAAACCTATTGAAAATGGAAACAGTGAAAAGAAAAAGTAAAGGCTTTTTTCATCTTCAGTGTGACAAACCATAGAATCTAAGACAGTACAACAGACTTAGTGAATGGCTGTTGGAAAGTTTCTTTCTGTTCACCAGAAGGCTGATTATCCTGATAATAGAGCCATTCAGATATATATTTTTCCAGCATAACAAGTAATAAAATAATTGTACATGAAATCTTCATAGAATTACACAATAGATAAAGGAATTAAGAAAGGAAAGTGAAAGAAAATTTCATCAAGATAGTGCATCTGATTAATTAAAAAATATTTGTAAAAGTTCTTTTGTCTTTAAATTATATCCATTAAAGTTGGCCAAAGTTTACAGGGTACAGATATTTTCTCTTCCCTGCATTCTTGAAGAAGCAGATTTTTGCATGTGAAAATCTTGTGGGCCTTTTATCTGTCCTACTTTACCAGCAATGGCTGCACCATGAGTGAAATCCAGCAAAGCTTTCAGTATTTGGGCCCTAAAGGAGAGAAGGTGTATTTATTTAGCAGGCTACAATATTATTAATGCTTACTTAGAAGTAAGCTTACTGAACTCAGTGGGCTTCCTAAGACTGAGTTCTATGAGTTTATATTCCAATTTGTTTACATTCCAAATTTTTAGAATGTTTAAGTTTAAAAGAAGCATTGCAATGTAAAATACATACAGTCCAATCTGAACACCTGTAAGTTGACTTTATCCCATTCCAGCAGACAGTTATCATCAACTCTGAGGTCCTATGATCTATTTTTGTAGCTGTAGGGATGGAAATATATTTGTTTCACTGAATTAGCAGTTGATGTGAAATAATTACATGAATTAGAACACCTCAGAAAACAAAACATTTCCTGATAGAACTGTCTTTGGGTATGTTGTGTGGTTCAGCTGCTAAACTGGACAGAATGAAACTTTAAAAGAGCCAGTTTGGTCTAGTGGTTGAGGCACCAGGCTAGAAAGCAGGAGACGGTGACTTCTACTCCTCCTGCCTTAGGCATGAAAACTGGCTGGATGACTTTGGGCCAGTCATTCTCTCTCAGCCCAACCCACCTCACAGGCTTGTTGTTGTGGGGAAAACAGGAGGAGGAAGGAGTATTAAGTATGTTCACCGCCTTGAGTTATTTATAAAAATAATAAAGGCAGGATAAGAAGTCTAAAAACAAATACTTCAAATAAACCCTGTGGATACAGTGATAAATATTAACATACATTTTAATAAGAATCTTATTAAATTCATAAGGGAAACAAAGATTATGGTTAGATATTTTCAATATAGTAAAAATGGGCTTTGAAGTATTCTAGAACAATTCAGTCACTGGTTGGTGAGTTTGGCATGGTAACCTTGCCTTGATATATGCTCTATCTAATGGAAGGCACCTTATGTCATGGAAAAGGGGATAGTTGTTTGAAATAATCTAAAGTGTCCATCTGCTAAAGTGTCATGGCAGAGCCATAAGACTTTTTTGCTCAAGGTAGGAACATTGAGTGAGTCATGGTGACACAAATTTCCCCATTCTCAAGAACAGTAGTTGATGAAATGGTGGTTGATATAGCCAAAATATTTCTTTCTTATAAAAATTTGTTTAATCCGTTTGTTATTCTGCCTAATGGACCAATAAGTATAGAGTTGACTTTGCAAGATCTTTTTCATAATCTTTCCATTTTGATAGTTAGATCTCTATATTTTGTAATTTTTCCCCTTTTTCCTGAATTCTGCTGTCCCTAGGTATTGCCACATCCACACCAAAAAATATTATTTTCTTTTCAATTATTGTTACATTTGATCTGTTGTGTTCTAGGTGGCGATCAATTTGTATGCAAAAATCCCATAAAATTTTAACAGCATTTTCAAAAACTTTTTTGATTTTGTGATTATACCACATTCATGAAACTTAGGAAGTACCATTTTTGCACAGATGCCAATGGCTCATAATGGCTACTCTGTCACAACATTGATTATAGTCAGTCAGAGCAATTTTGTTCCATCAGCTAATTACATAATTATTAATACTATTGTTATTTGCTTCAGAATAGATGGTTTTAGTAGGGCAGTCCAGTGTGAAATATACATGTTCACCGCAACATAAAGACAGCTTGTGAATTTCACAATTTTTCCCTTTACTGTAAATAGCAGAACTCTGCCCGTTTCTTGTTGCATCCACTTCCAGAGTGTCTGATATGCAGGTAGAGGAACAGAAAATGAACAAAAGAGAACACAGGAGTCTTCCTTTTATGTCCCTCTGTGCCATGATTCCTTTAGTCTCCTGTTGATGCTCAAGACCTGGATTAATGCAGACAAATGTCCCTGGAAATCTCTGAGAAATGGATTTATTTTGCACGCTGGTCCCTCTTAGGTTGCTCTGTTGAGCCCCTTTCATTCTACCTGAGCTAATAACTGAAAGTCAACAAAAAGAGTTTCCTACACCAAACTCTTACTCTGCCACAAGTGACAGAATTTATGGCTGTCAGTCACTTGCTTGGCTGGATCATCAAAGTTACCCTTTAAACATGTAATGAATTTGGCATAGTTGGTATGTTCAGGTCCATCTGGGTTGAAACTTGATTCTGATATTGAAGCCTAGCATTGCTGACTTAATACACAGTTGGGGGGTTGCAAAGGACTCCATTGTTAATCTTGATGTCAGCACACAGGATCTCTTTCTTGAGCGTTGGGAATTGGTATAGCTAGAATTTACCGTGTGGCTTCACACTAGGCACAGCAATGAATCTAGAGTCTCCATATTTAGGAATATGTTTACACCAGAAGCTTCACAGATATCCCATGGCTGGCTAAGTTGGTTTACTGCACACCTGAAAGAAGTCCTACGTATAAGTAGAAAGTTTGCCTAGCAACGTAGAATCAAGCCTTCTATATTCATCTGCTCCACATATTCTAGGATTTTTCCCTCTTCTTTTTCGAATCAACAGACTGGCTCTTCTTTTCTTGGCCTTGATAGCTGAAAACAACTGTTCATGATTTGCATTATGATCCTGCTTCAGTTGGTAGCAGTAGAGAGATGATATTCAGGACTTGAGAAAAGTAGTTGGAAGCTAAATAAAATAGTGATAAGTATATGCATTTCTGTTAGCATGTGCAAGGCTGCATGATAACTGTACCTAACTTCTATTTTCACTTTCATTTTCTCAATTTTGTGTTTAAACAGTTGTGTGTGCGGGGGGGGGGGTTGCACTTTTCATAGATCATTGTTTTTTACTTCAAAAGTCTCCTTTTAATACCTTATCCTTTGGTTTCATTTCCTTTTGGATAGGGAATGGTTTTAACCAAATATGTTGTGCAGAGTACGCTGGCACTGACAGAAAAGTTGTTAGGTATCAGTGTGTTTGGGTTTTCTTTCCTTTTGCAGCTTGCTGTTAATTTTTCAGATAGCAACTGATATAACTGCTGCTACTGCTACTATTATTACTACTGTATGAGCACTTCCCTGAATTACTCTATTTGGACAGTGGTAATTACTATTTTGCTGGCAAAAGAGATATAAAGTATGTTAGAGTTAAAAGACCTGTCTGTCTTGCTACTACATGCATCCCCAACATACTCAAATGGAGTTACCATGTGTATTCTCCCATTTTTGTGCCACATTAGCATGGAAATAATTGATATACTAGGTAAATGTGCCACAGACATACTAATCTGCAAGTAAATGACTGCACATAAAAATATGACAGATCACAGATGGAATGTTTGTACAGATGAAGTCCTTTACTAGCCACCTACTTTTTGATTCTTGAAAGGTTAGGGAAAATCAATTACTCTCCTGAAAATGTTAAAAATAATATGAGAGTTTTTCACTGTAACTGTGGCTTGGTTTTACAAGTATAAATGGCTTCCCTTTTTTTACTTTTGTCTTTTAAAGTCTAAAATTTAACAGGCTACTTTCTGGATTCCTAAAAATTGCTGTGGTGAAGCAGGTTCTGTACCTTTGCTGTGATGGCTAAGAAGCCTTAGATCTTCACAGCCCTGAGCGAAAGGATTCTGTAATAGGGCTGTGCTGTGCTCCAGATTAAATTCCATAGAGGTGCTTCTGAGAGCTCA